CGATGCTGCGGCTCCGCGCCCGCTGCGATCCCGGACGGGGACACGCGTGGGGAATGAGGGTTTGCGGGGGGTTTCTGGCAGCCCAGGTGTCACCGGGGGGGGATTTAAAAACGCGGGGTCCTCGGCTCCTCCGTGGGAGGGAGATCTGCTCGGGGTCTGCTCGCTTTGAGCGATGTCAATTCTATCCCTTAATCCTGCAGGTTTCTCCAAAGTCTTGGGGGCAGAGTGGGGAGAGAGCGAGGCAAAGCGGCTGCCCGGGAGCCTGCGCTTACTTTAGGTGTAAAAGCTGCGCCTCCCAGTGCAGATGGATTTTTACAACAGTCATTCTGAAACTTCATGGATCAGGTTTTATTCCTTCTAAACCTCCTGGTCGCTGTCGCTGTGCAGCAGGAATTGATGTCTTGTCCTTACGCCTCGCAGATCTGACGGGGTTTTCTCGACCTCCAGAAGCTCAGCTGTCCCCCCGAGCGGACCCACGTCCATCAGCCGCAAACCAAAAGAGCCAAATCCTTTCTTAATATAGCAAAAAATATCTTTATCCCGCCCGAACGTCCTCAGCCGTGTTTGAGGCACTTAACTGCCGACACCGCTGAAACAGTTAAAGGTATTTTTGTTAAAAAAAAAAAAGGTTTTCCTTTAGATCCGGGATGCGTTGCTTGGTGTCTCAGTTGCAGCCTTTGGAGAGGGCTCAGAGCCCGGCAGTGCTGGGAAACCCGTGCGGTTCCCGGCAGCAGAAGCCGGGGGCTTGGCACCCTCTCCTGGTGTGCGCCCGGAGTGCTGCGGCGGGAGCCGGGCTGCCCCGGGAGCGAACCGATGGCAAATCATCCGCACTTCCAGCTCAGTTCACGGGCACGACCTCCGGGATAACGCGCCGCGGTTCTGTCTGGATGCAGCATTTGGGCTTCACGGGGGTGTGTCTTGTCCTGTGGGACATCCTCCATGGGGATGCTGCTTGTCCTGTGACTTCCACGAGAGTTTTGAACGGACAAAATCACACTCAGCCTTGTTTTTTCCCCATATCCCTGGGTTGCAGAAATACCCGAGAGCTGCCATGTGCTGCATCACTTCTTGTACTCCTTGAGGCGTTTAGAAAAGCAAAGAGGGGAAAATAAAAAGCGTAAATGGAGAAATACAGAAAATGGTCTTAAACAAGATTATTATTTTTTTTAACTTTTCACTTAAACGAGATTATTGTTTTTCAAGTATTTAGGACACCGTAGAATGGCCAAAAACTTGGGAAAAACAAGGCGGATTGGAGAAAGGTCATCTGAGGTGAGTCCCACACAGCTCTGGCAATTCCATGTGGGCAGAGCGGAGGTGGGAACAAGCTGCTTTGTTCTCATTAATTCAAAATAATTCCGGAGTGGCACTAAAGCCCTGCACTAAAGGCTTCCTTGCTGCAGGAGCAGCCTGGGGAATGGCTCAGAACCTGGTGTGTGAGGGCTTTTCTATTTGTCTCTGCTCCTGCTCAGTGCTCCTTCCCCAGAGCTCGGCTGCCCAGCACATCTCCAGCAGCTCTTTCTGCTGGGACTGAGCCTGTTTTTCCCCTTTCCCCCCCACCATTTTACACTTCAAACCTCAAGTTTTAACCCACCCACTCACCCACTGAGAGTCACCCCTTGCTTGTGCCCAACTACCAGGCATGGAGGAACAAACCTCCCTGCTCGGGCATGTGCCCAGTGGAAGGAGACAAGGAGGAGTTGCAATGTTTTAATGAAACCAGTTTTTTTTTTTTCCAGGCTGGGACTGGGAGAATTCTCTTCTTTGAAATCCCCAGCAGAGTTGAGAAGCCGGTACCAACCCTCCTGTTCCCATGGACTGAGGTCAGCCACATCCAAATTTGCTGGGAATTCTGTATGTGCATGCAGACACTTGTTTTCCCATTTAAAAAAAAAAATAAAAAGGAGAAAAATATAAGTCTGTAATTGAAGCTGCTGAGACTGCAGTTTCGGAGCAGCCCTGCTGTGATGTATCAGTTCCTTCTTCTTCATTTTCCAGCTTCCCCAGCATCCTGTTGTGCACAAATATATGTCTGTGCTGCATCTTTCCCACTCTCCCCCACCACTAATTCTTGGATTCTTAGTGATTATGCCTGTATTGCTTATTTTGCAAGATGTCTGATTATTTGTTTGAAATAATATTGTATTATTTTTTAACAGTTCCAATGGCAATGTTTGGAATATATGGTTTTTAAGCTCTAGTGTGTTTCTGTACAAAGGCATTTTTGGCTCCTTATATATTTTGGGCATTATTACTGATTCCAGAGTAAGATCTCGGCTGTTAATGCCCTTAGTCATATAGTTTTTATTATTTGTATTCCCAAAGAAGTCTAAATGTGAGAGAGAATCTCAGCATCATGTGAATACATGTAAACAAATGGACTGTCCCACAGATGTGAGAAATGGGAATGACCTCAAACACGATTTGTTACATTTGTGTTTTTGTGCTGTAACTGAGCAGGGCAGTTCCCCGTGATTAATTACCCACGTCAAAGACGCCAAAGTCTTGTTCTGCTTTATTAGTTCTGTCCAAACAAGATCACTCCATTTAGATCTTATTAAAGTTTGTTTATTTTTCTAGCTGTGGAGAGGGAAAAATCACCAGGCAGGGAGGCTTTTTTTTTTTATTTGAATATTTTAATTCAGGGAGGAGTCCCTCAGCTTCTCTGACGTTGGCCAACCCATGTCCTGAAGTCATGTTTCAGCTGATTGCTCAGACAATTAAACTCTCACGTGCTATTAAAGACTCTGGAACCTGCTATCACTCTTCCAGTTCAGATCTCCAGTGACCAACTGCAGATTGGAGCTTCAGCCCTTTTCCACATTCCCAGAAAAGGGAGAAAATTTCAATCCAGGAAAGGTAATTCATGTCAGACCCTCATATCTTGAGTTTTCCTCAGTTATCCAGAATCTGATGCAAAGAAAATTGAATTATCCCAAAGACTCTGACAGGTTGGATGAGGTTTTTGGAAAAGGAGCTGCTGTTTGAAAATGAGTTGCAACACAGAAGGTTACATAGAAGGTTTTCCTCACCAGGTGGGATGAGCAATGCCTGCAATTCACCCACCGAAAAGGATGTAAATCACTGCATTCTTCTTCAACCCCAGCACTGAAACCCAAGAGGAGTGGGTGCAAATTTCTTTGACAGAGGCTGTTAATTCAGTGTTCCCTGAGTCATCCCATTCTTTCCTATTTGCTCATGCTTTGAATGTTTTAGTCTACTAGCAGTCTCTTAGGTTATGTGCCAATTAAATAACTCCATTCATTATGCAGAAACCATATAGGATAGTTCATTATCCCCCAACCAGCCTCTGGGCATGTGTACAAAACTGTATCAAAGAGCATCAGTTCACAAAAATAATATCAAAAGAGAAAGTGCAGTTGCTACAGGGTGTTGATCAGCTGCACTATCCTGCCCAAGAGATGGCTCCAGACCAGCCCTGGAAGATCCCCACGTACCTTTTATGCAATTTGCAATTTATGAGTGTTAATTACTGAGTGTTTGTAAAGAGCTTTGGAACACTTGGGTGAAAGATGGTGCAGGAACTTTCGTAATGATTATTAATCACATCATTTTCTTGTGGCTCAAGCACCGAGGGCAGGACAGTTAACATGGCAGAGGAGTGACATGGGGAAGGCAGAGGAAGAGCTGCAGCTGCCTCCTGTGATCCCTGCACCTTCTGCGGGGATTGTTTTGGGATTCTTGTGGTGTTTTGTTGATTGGGCCCATGGAACAAGGTCCTGGGGATCAAGCTCAGAAATGTCGTGGCATAAAACACCTCGCAGAGGAACTGGGCTGAGAGTTGTATGCTTGGAAAGGTAATTCCTGCCTGGTATGGAGCACTAAATCCCACAGGAAAGCGACTCAGTTTGTGTCTCTCCCTTCTCACCATTGCTGGAGTTCATGGCACTCACGGCAGATTCCCAGGAAAAGGCTGGATGGTTTGCTGCACGGATCAGGTGGAGCTGTATGGTTTGGGGAGAGCTGCTCTCTGGGTCCGTGTCTCAGTTTCCTCATACACAAACCAGAATTTATAATAACACTCTTTATACAGTGTTTGCAAAGCATTTATATGAGAGCTCTGCTCCTCAGAGATCAACCTGAGTGCTGAGTTATAATGACAAACGTCCTTGGTGGCTGAGGAAAGAGCAGATTTGCCTCGGGAGGGTAATTAAGAGGATTTTTGTGGCAGGATCCGGGACGCAGACGGAACTGACTTATCAGACAGCAATTGCCAGGACCCAGCAGTGTCCCCACGTCCTGACGGGCGCTATGCAGCCTGGCAGGGATTTCTGGTGTGTCTGGGTGGTTTGGGATGGAATGACGGAGCTGCCACATTCCTGCAGCAAACGAGGCACCGACCGGGGCCACGATGTGCCCTTGGCATGAGGGACCAGAGCTGGGGCTGCAGAGCCCACAGACCCTGGGCAGGGGTCGGATGGGGGCCGGGGCTGGCCATCCGTCCCCGTGTCCGTCCCCTCTGCTGCGGCCTCTGTGGCCAAAGGGGACATTTTGGGCCACATCTCAGAGGTCTCCAGATTCTTTGCAGGGCACTTGGCTCTCGTGGCCCTGCTATGACACTTGCCCGCTGTCACCTCCCCTCAGGACCATTGTCCACTGCCCTCAGGACCACTGTCCTCTGCCCTCAGGGCTATTGTCCCCTGCCCTCAGGACCATTGTCCCCTGCCCTCAGGACCACTGTCCTCTGCCCTCAGGGTTATTGTCCCCTGCCCTCAGGACCACTGTTCCCTGCCCTCAGGGCTATGTCCCCTGCCCTCAGGACCACTGTCCCCTGCCCTCAGGGCTCTCTGTCACCCGCGCCCACGGGACGCGTCCGAGTTGCCGCAGCGTCCCCAGGTCACCTGTGCCCTCAACCAAGATGGCAGCCCCCGCCTCCCCCGGCCCGGCGCCCCTAGCCCTGATCAAAGATGGCCGCCTCCTCTACCTCACCGCTGTGGACCCTCGCGGGCTGCTTGCCCTCACCCAACATGGCCGCCGCGAGCCATCCCCCTATTGGCCGTCTCGCCCGACGCCGCGGCGGCCATGTTGAGTGCGGCGCATCCCGCCGTGCCGCGCGGCCGCGCTGAGCGGAAGTGGGCGCGGGAGCGGTTGTGTGACAACATGGCGCCGCGGGCGCCGCCGCGGGAGGAAGAGGGGAGGGAAGCGGTGGCGGCGGGCGGGCGGAGCCCACATTCATGAGTCGACGGCCCGCGCCCTCCCTTGCCTCCCGCCTTACCCCCCGGCCCGCCGCGCCGCCGAGCCCCCCCTCCCGGCCGCTATGTCCTTCTTCAGCGAGCGGAAAGGCAGTGTGGGGCGGCGGCGGGCGGGCGGCGCCGCCGGGCTCATCCCCGCGCGGCTTGCGGGCCCCGGCCCTGCCGCTCCGGCCGCGGTGAGCGGGCCCCGCCGAGGACGGCGGTTCCCTGCGGAGCGGGGCTGGCGGAATGACGGTGAGTGTCCCCCCCCGGGGGTGGGGGGGCTCTGAGGGGATCGCGGGGTCTCGACCCCTGGTGAGCAACTGCGAGCGCGGACCCGGGCGGAGAGGGGCCTGTGACACCCCCCACACCTCCCGCGGGCTCTGAGCCTTTTAGCAGTTTACAGGTTATTTTGTCACAATGCTGACGTACGCGGGTTTTTACAAAAATACAGTAGGCTAGAAATGTACAGCGGCGGCTGAAAACCCCAGTTAAAAAGGGAGCTCATCACACCAAGCTCTTTGTGAAAGCCAGAGGAGTCACTGGCAGGTTATTTTGTCATTGGTTTGTTATGAAGCTCAAGATTGGAAATTTAGGGCTCCTGAATTATTTATAATGCTCCAATGGCACAAATGGATGTGGTTTAAGTGTTGTTTGAGAGTGGAGTGTTTTGAGGGCGCTTGTGCTCGTTCTGCAGTGAGAGGCACTGTGCTTTCAGTCCCCACAGCTGTGGTTTGGGTGGTTTTTATAGAAAGTGGCACCTTTTAGGAAGGGCCTCTTGGGACAGTTCTATCACCTCGTGACTCTGTAGCTCGAGCGGTGCAACCATTGATCTTTGCCAGTGGCTGATGCAGCGCTGTCCTAAAGCCTTTCTCGATTACTGAACCCAAAATGCACATCCTGGGAGGGAAGAACGTGGTACCTGAGGTGGTGATGTTGCTCTTGGCTGACACGTCCTCTGGGGCTTGCTCAGCCAAAGTAGCAACACTGAAAATGTCATTCCTTGTGGAGGTTATTTCTGGAAGAAATGTGTCTAAACTGTTCTTATCAGCAGATACGAAGACTCTGGAAGTCCACTGAGGGCTTTGCAAGTGCCATAATCCTTTTTGGAGTGCTTACATTCAAACGTTGAGCTGCAGAATGAAACTTTCATAGTGGTTATAAACTCTTCAGAAACAGCTTTTGCTGCTTCTTTGGTGGGAATTGTGGAGCTGATGTTCCATCCTGGTGTGTGATCATAGGGACAAGGTCAGCTTGGGTGGAAACTTTCTCAGGGACAAAGGAATGAAATGTCTGATTATCTGAGATGTGTAATTGAGGATCTGTGTTCCTTTGATTAAAGGATCTTTGGTCAGAGAAGCAAATCAGCACTAAATGCCCGAGAGAGATGCTGTGAAGGAGAGAAGAGGAGTAACCTTTCATCTGGGCTGTACATAAATACTGCTTTGTGTGATCTCCATTTTTAGATTTGGCTTTTAGAGAAGATTTAAACTGCAGCTGGGAGAAAAGCAGCACTTTAAAGCTTAGGATAAAACTGTAGACCCACGCAGTCCAAAAAACATACAAGCACCAGGGTTCTTGGGGTGAGCTGTCGTCGTTTAGGAGGATATTGCACTGGGTAAAAATTAGAACTATTTTTAAATTAATTCATGACAAGGATCAAAAAACAAGAGTGAAATGTTTTTATAGCTCGGGCTGTAAAATAAAGGCCTGGGAGACTGAGGGTGGATAATGGGTTGAGAAATCAAAGTGTAACAGTTGAAGCAGCAGCCGGGCGCTCGAGGGCAGGTTATGAAACTGCTGCCAGTGGATCAGACGGGTGACACGCTCATCCCTGGGGACACCTTGGGAATAACGTGCAGCCCCGCTGGTTGGCCCATCCTGGGAGGTTCACACTGGTTTTTGTGCACTGTCTCCTGGGTTTGTTCATTCGTGAGCATTTCAGGATGGGAATTGAAATTCCCGAACGTCACGTGAGGGTTTGGCGCGTGACCCCTTTGGAGTGGGGTTGGCTGCTGGAAATCTCACACACCCTCAGCCCTTGGTTTCACACAGACACCACGGGACATCCGCTTTTTGAGGGAAGTGAA